CATTGCCCCATAATAATGTTAAATATGATAAGTGTGAATGTATTAAAGAGTTGTAAATCATTTTACGGTGAAATATAGGTAAATATTTTGAAACCCTTCCGAGAACACCCACTGCTGGAGCGATCCTTTTGCATAAAACACCAATATGAACCTCCCAAGTGAGTTTAGAGTCTATATTAAGGCCTAAATACTTTATAAAGTTGTTGCGTAACAAAGGCTGACTATGAAAATTTATAATCAATTGTTGCCAGTCATCACCTTTAGTAATAACCATGTAACTTGGTTTTTCAACATTTAAGGTTAATTTATGGAAACATAGCCATTCACTTACTGTCCTTAAATCCTTCTCTACAATATCTTTCATTACATCCGGATCCCTTCCAAAATACAATAGACAAGTGTCATCTGCATACAAATTTACGGATCCATTCAGACGAAGAAGTGAAATGGAATTTATGTACACCAAAAATAAGGTTGGTGCCAAGATAGAACCATGCGGCACTCCATACTGTATGTCTTTAGTTGAACTCTTGTTACCACCAAACTGAACAAACTGCAGTCTCCCATCCAAATACTCTCTGAACCACAACAAAGCCGTGCCACGAATACCAGATTGTTCCAGAACAGACAGCAAGACAGAATGATCCACTGTGTCAAAAGCTTTTTTTAGATCCAATGACAGCAAAACGCACTTAAATCCTTTATCAACTTTTTCATAAATGTTAGTTAATAAGTCAGTTGTGGCGGAGACTGTACTGCTATTTCGCCTAAATCCATACTGACCAGGGTACCAAAAGTTAACTGAATCAAGAAAAAAATTTAGTCGATTGTTAACACAAGACTTCAATACTTTTGAGATAGCCGTCAATAATGAAATGGGCCTGTAATTGTGAACTGAAGAGCGATCTCCGTCTTTAAAGAGTGGGATAACTTTCGCCATTTTCAACCCATTAGGAATGGAAACCTTGACAAGTGTGAGGTTCACAAGTTTACACAGCAGAGGCACCATCTCATCTCCGAACTCCTTGATTACGTCAATACTCAATTCATCGGCTCCTGGAGCCTTGCCTGGTTTAAGGTTTTTCACGATTTCTGCAATTTCCTCTATGGTGGCATTTTCCCAACTATATAAGTGTCTCCCGCTATCTGGCATTTGCGGTATGAGATTTGTAGGAGGAATGTTGCTAGCAAGGTTTGCAGCTATCCCAGTAAAATAATCATTAAACAAGTTGGCTACTTCTATTGGATTATCAGTCACTGTGTTATTTTTCAAGAGTTTTGGGACTTTATTACTAGCTGGTTGTGGTTTGGAATTATGTAGAACAGAATTGAGTACATTCCATAGCTTTTTTGTGTTGCCTTCTGCCCTGTTGATCTCATTACTATAATACTCTTTTTTGGTATTTTCTATGGCCCTTTTGAATTCCTTTTGAGTTTTTTTATATTGGTCTTCTAAAAAGACATTGTTAGGAAATAATTTGTGTCTTTTGTAGTGGTAATCACGTTGACACAATAAGTTGTATAATCTTACATTGAACCATGGTGCACTTTTGCTTCGAAATCGATTTCTATAAGTTTTATGGTTCAAATTATTCAAATAAGTACGGATCATTTGATCACACAAAATGTTAGGGTCATGCCATTCACAGCTTCTTAATTGAATTAAGTCCCTTCTGAATAATGTTTTGTTCAAACTCGTAATAGTATAAGTGCTGCTTGCATTACTGTCAACTCTTTTCCTAGATCCTACAGACAGAAACTGGAGTCTATGATCAAGCAGAGCATAATCTATTAGAGACAAACTACTGGTATATCTCAAGTTATTGGTTATTACATAGTCGATTAGGGAGCTTGAATTACTTGTTATTCTTGTGGGAATCGTTTGGTTTACAATATTAAAACCGTTAGAATTAGCTATGTACTGAAGCAGGTCACGTTGAGCGGTGAGACTTAAAAAGTTTATATTAAAATCTCCCAGTACCCACGAAGTTTTGCCTTTACTTGCCATGAGGCCAAGTTTTTCATCCAGTAGTTGTAAAAATAAATTATAATCGAAGTCGGGTGGCCTATATATGGCTCCAATAATAGCATCAGTCCCCTCAATAGAAATGAAAACCATAGAACAATTTGTTTCAAGTTTTGATATTATCTGAAATGTATAGTTGTCTTTCAGTAGGATACCCACTCCACCACCTCTCTTCTGTCTACTTATATAAATTGTATTATATCCATTAAAATTAAAATATTGAACTTCAATTGGAGATATCCAGGTCTCAGTAATTACAATTGCATCTGGAAGATCAAAACTATTAAATAGTGTTTCCAACTCACCAAGCTTGTTCCTCAATGATTGAGCATTCAGGCATACAATATTAAGGTGTGATTCGATCAAACACCTTGTAGTTATGGCTAACTTAAATTCTGAAATATCTTTGTATTGTTTGACACTCGGTTTGATATCTTGATTAAATGCAGACATTGTGATAAGTAATTTCAAGATGATTATTCAAAAGATCAGAAGACTACTAAATTTGTTAATGTTGTAGTCTATTGAGGACGTCCTCATTAAAAACAAGAATTGCTTGGGAATCATCACTCTTCTTTAGATAAACCTTTCCATCCTTTGTCCAGCAATATTTAAATTGTTTCTCTTTCTTGATCTTGTATGCCATATTAAACAAATTTTGGTTGGGAAAAGTTAATTGTTCGTTTATGTAAATATGATTGCTAGCTTTACCTTGATTGTGCTTAAGCATGTTGGATTCCAGTTTGCGTCCTTTTCTTTGAGAAAGAAAATGGGTTTTCTGCTCAACAGTTGAAAATTTCACAATAATTGCTGCACCTTTCTTGGACTCCCTCTTATAACAAACGAGCTTTCTGGGCCGTTAAATTTGCAGTCCAGCAAGTCGTTCGCTATCTCCATAGCGATATCTTTGGGATGTTCATTCTTGATTTGGGATCCAATTATTTCCACGTTACACGACAATTCTTTTGTTTCCAGTTCCTGGACTCTTTTCTCAAGATCATTCATTCTGGTACGCAGCCTTCCGTTCTCCTGTTTAACTTCTTTTAGCTCCTTAAGCGCATCTTTATTTACCAGCGTAAGCACATCAAATTTTTTGCTCAAGAAGGACATGGATTCTTCCAACCTTTTCATGGTCTCCATTATATTTGGGGAAACCACAGGTGGGTCAGCGCTATTTTTGACACAGACTACGGCAGAGTCAGCATTTGAGTTTAATCTTCCCTGGTTTGATTTACGCAGAGTCACATTATGTCTCTGTTTATTCTTCAATGGTTCCCAGTCTGAAGTACGAGGATAGGTTTCTTCCCGCTTATCCGAGCTACTGCCATCTTCAGAGCAATCAGAAGAACTACTTCTTTGACCTATTTTTGATAATCTGCGGTTGACCTTGCCTTTGCACGTTGTACAAAAATATGAAGTTTTTCCACTTTTTATACTTTCCAAATCGCTCTTCTCCAGCCCCGTGCATTTCAGATGCATCCAGGTTCCACATTCACCACTACATTTCACTTTATATCCACTCTTTCCAATTCTACTATTACAAAGCTTGCAACCCAAAGACGCCATGTCCACCGACTCCTTTACTCTCCAAAACTTGTAGTGTAGTGCAACAAAGTGTTGTTATTGAGCGACACGATAGGAACAAATTCCTGACCTGATAAGAGCGTCAATGTATCATGTAACTATGCACCAAGTCGACGACGGCTTGAAGCTTGAACTGACGTTATTTTCGAAGAAACGGTGTTGCAGCCGTTGCACTACTCGAGCCCGAACACCAAACAAAATAGACGGGTGGCGGAAATGTGCTACCTAAAGTTTGCAACACAATCAGAGTCTGTTCGATCAATACTCCTGTCAAAAATATTATTAGGAATTGCGCATCTGAAAACGAAGCATATTTTCTATTTAAAGTTTTTTACTGGTATTCCCTGTTAATGAGTTATCAAATAATTAATGGGAGACGGGTACCTACTTACATGTTTATTACGCCCATGAGAACTTTTTATCAGGAAGTCAAGATCTACTACATATCAAAATTTTATCGAGTTTGACAGAAAACCAAAAACCCATAAGAAGTGTGCGGGGTCCTTTATTATTCAGTCTCCTAGGTTACTTTCTTAAAATTATTTTATTTGTATTTGGTCTCAATGCCAAAACAAATTGAAATTGAAAAATTTTTTATGATAAAAAAACTCAAAAAAAAAAAAATTTTCAAAAGAACTTATTTATGAAACACCAATTACAAAATACAATTTATAGGAAAAGGGATTACTTACAAGGCACGATGCTTGGAACGGTAACACTTCAACTTTGTACGTTGGATCTTGTTGTTTCTTTTCTTCAGTAAATTTTTTCAAAAAGTGGAATGAACTGGATTAAACTTTTTCGAAAATTCAATCTCAGGACTCTATAGCACTCTGAAGAGCATCTGCACTGACTTGCGCTAATTATATTTTCGATTCAGAAACTTGTATTTTTAAAAAACATTTATTTTATTAATTAAAATACAATAGTGACAAAAGAAAATATGTGGATCAAATTGCTGCGACGTAAAAGTCGATAACAAATGAACCTGTGAATCTAATTACTATATTCTAGCTAAAAATAATAGAATGAGCTCCAGGCAGCTCTCTACGCTGTATTTGTAAGAAATAACTGCTGATGCCAGCATTTGCGTTGGCGGAATGGTGGTACTTGCAGTGCAGTACCGCTTAGTCGACAGTTTTCATTATTATAAGTTTTGACAGAGGCGTACGCTTATAATTAACATAGGAAAGGAGAATTATTGGTATAATGATAACATAGGGTCTTACAATATAGCTAATATAAATTAGCAAAGTAGGTATATAGGCTAATAATCAAAGTTTAATTTATTAATTTTTGGTTCACTGATACGAATATCAGTTTATCCAACAAATAATTCACGTGTTCATTATCAAGTATCCACGCCAATACGCAAAACCTTGCTTTCTAGATGAATACAGATCTGACCTATTTCCCAATTAAAAAAGAAATCCTCTATCCAACAAACGTCAGAGCTAAGCAGCGAATGAAAGCCCGAGTCGCTCAAGCAAAAAAACCGTTCGACTGGCAGCAATCTTTCGAACCATTAGCACCGGATGTAACCAAATCGGAGGAATTAAACAAAGAAACGAATTTTGTTGATCTACCCGATGATACCCAAATAATTAGAGGAACAAAAAATATTGCAGGCTTTGGTGCCGATATCGAGTTCATGGCACCTTTCGTGTGCGTTATGGCTGATGTTGTGGCGAAAAAGTATTCGGTTTTGTCTTGGACACCGGAAATTATCGATTATGTGCTGAAATGCGGCTCGGAACTGCATCAGGCTTCGAAGTTCAGATATGATCAGGTATGATCTGCTTCGATCATTCGTTAACACAAGCTTTGAAAAATGTTTATTTTAGGTGTCCAAGCTGGAAATTCCTCAAATCTCCCTGGGAAAATCCAAATTCACTTGCTTAGTAGAATACGTATTTGACTCTTACACTAGACAAAATATTTTGGAGTTGGCCATTGAGAAAATTTTATTTGTGAGATCGGATATGGGAGTTTTGGTGACACCAACTTACGCTTGCGCGCTTATTTTCAAAAATCACCTTTACTACATGTACGATGGTTTTGGCAATAATGAAGTTGGTTTGAGTGAAGGAATGTCTGATGATGGAGTCGCGTGTTTTTCAAGGTTCAAGGTAAGGCACCAATGAGTGTGTAAATACATTATCAGTACAAAACTTGTACAATTTCAGGAAGTTCATTCTTTAGTAACAAGGATAATGTATAATAAAAAGAAAAGAGAAAGTAACGAAGATGTTGTTTATACAAGGTTTGTATTGAGCTCCGTGAAAGTTAAACGATTGCATCCTTCAGGTATAAAAGCTCTCTAATTAAAGCATCGAAAAACAATTGTTTTATATTACAAATTGTAGAAGAACGATTCGATAAAGATAGAAAGAAGAAATCTGATGAAAAAACTGCTGAAGAAGAAGAAGAACTTGCAAACCAGTATGGTGAAGATGGTGAAGATGGTGGTAGTATCGAAGCTGGAGATGCCTCAGAGGACGATGAGAAGAAAAAGGAACCGGAAAATAAAGTTGGGTAAGTCGAAGTATATTGATGTTTTACAAAAATGTATGCCAAATATAATATTTCAATTCCAGTTACCAATACAAAAAGGGTATCTACGTTATCGAAGGTACCAGAGGATTGGTTTCTGGTGAAAATCTTGGGGAAGACAATGAAGAAGAAGCTAGAGCCAGAATTATGAAATTGGGTGAAGATCATTTTGCTTGCATATGCGCATGCCTCATGTTGCTGTCTTTGCCAATTGAAAAATGGGACACTAAAAAAGTGGACGAGGTTTTGGACCATGGGAATCACATTTATTCCCATGCGGACGATTTGGAAATGTCCGAAAAAAGAACCATCAAGAATATACTAATTGGTAAAAACTTTTTCGATATTATCGTGAAAAGGGTGAAAATCGAAAACTCGAGAGACAATCGAAACTTGAAAACAGGCATCGATACTTTGCTACGTAAAAAAATGTCTTACTTTTTGATACAATTTGCCGATAAGTGTTATACAGTTCACAAATCCACCAATAACGATATGTTCCATATATTTTACTCAAGTGGAGTACCACAAGGAAAGGCAGGAAAAAAAGGCAACGAAACTACAGACGATGAAGAAGATGAAAGCAGTGGACCTATGGCGGGATGGCTGAGATGTCGAAATTTGAAGGTAAGCCAATATTTTTTCTTTATTTATAGATATTTTGGAAACTGTCATCCAAAGATCAGCATTGAATGGCACGCTGTCACGATTGAGTTTATAATAGACCCTCGAAAATTATTTCTTGTAGCCAGTACCGTTATTCAAGAAAGCATCCCCAGATGCCTACTTTTGATAACGTTCTAGATCTTTTCTTATAGGCCGCTAAAAGAAGGCTCAAAAAAGCAGCTAAAGGTCGCGAAAGTTACGAATTCTATACCTTCGAAGTCACTTCTATAAGGAAAGCTCCAAAAGATATGCTCATCAACTACAGATTAAACCAATATGAACTGGAAAAGCAGAAGCAACCAGAACTATTTGGTATGACATATTTTATAACAAGTTATGTTATATCCTATAATTTTTACATTCTTTCCTAAAGGTAAACCCTTCTACGAAGACGCAGAATGGCTTCAAGTCGACCTACTGCCATGGTCCAGGGTACTCAATAAAAATCCCGAAGGATCTGATAGAGGCTCTCCAGAAAATCTTTGGCAAAATTGGGATATTGAATACAGAAACGACTTGTATTCTTTAATGAGCAATATTCATCAAGATTCCGACAGGTTCCCAGAAGAAGCCCGTGGAAAACAGACACTTTGCAATCTGGTTACTTGCATAGGAATGCTGGAGATTTACGATTTGACCGAATGGAATTCGGCGGTAATCGATTCGGTACTGGTCAATGGAAATCGGTACTTTTTGGAGTGTACTGAAGGGATTAAGGATGAGGATTATGAAATGTCTGTTGATGATTTGAAGGTAACTTAGAATTTCTTGTTTATTCATTATATTTGGTGTGTTTTATTTTACAGGATTCTTGTGACATTTTTCCATTTACGTTTAAAGTTAACATTAAGCCTGTCGTGGAAGGAACCATGTTTTTGGTCAGGAATACTCAATTTAATCTTTACAAGGCATTGCGGTAACCGCCAAATGTACCTGATAATTGGAATACGTAATGTCCTCATTTATTTAAAGGTTATTCTTTGATCATTACAATCGAAGAGCTGGAATAATTTGCTGCACGAAATCCAACATGAAAAAGCACCTAGCGTTCGGTAAACCCCAAAAGCACGAATATTACATGTTTGAAGCTGATGCCCATGGAGAGCCTATGTTTCTCGACGGTATGGAAAAAGCGTATATTTTACGTATGACCAGTTTGAACCGGTAAAAAACTCTTTACTAAACCGACTATGGAAAATGTACTTATGTATTTTATTTTAAGGTTGCTGCACGTTTTAACCCTAATACTTAGAGGGGGAGACTTTTTCGTTTTTGAAGTTAAAATAAGTGAAGTGAAACCGATCAGCTGAAGAATGAAATAAGAATTTGCCGTTTTCAAAATGTCATTTGTGGCAATACAATTCTAAAGACATAAAATAATCGTTTTATTCTGCTCTTAAAATATGCTCTTTATTGTCTTTATTGAATTGTGAAGTACCACTGTCAAAGGTGAGTGAAATAGGAACATACTCCAGTGCATAGAGTATGAAACAAAATCCAATTAGAAATATCAGAATCGAAGCTCTCACTCTACAATAGGGTTGATAAGAAGTGTTTCCTCGATGATTGGCGTTTGCGGTTTTTTTGCAGTTCATCTCCATCCTTTCAAAAAATAATCACCCTGTAAATACCAATTAGTAATATATGTAGCTTCACCAAGCAATGGTTTACCAGTTTAGTAGGTCAATGATATTATCAACAGGGAAGTATTACATTGTTGAAATCGCACAAACATAAAAAAACCGATGCACAGCTAGCATCAGCATCCGTTTGGATCAACCTTTCCTCAGGAACGCCTTATTCCAGGGAGAACAGCTAACCGTCCTCAGGGATATCTTACCCCAGAGTTCTTATTCTTGAAACAGGGAGCAACGTTCCCAGGAGAATAAGTGTTCCGTCTTTCTCAATAATATGAAATGATAAAATAAGTAACAAAGACGGAACACTCGTTCTCCTTGGAACGCTGCTCCCTTGTTTCAAGAATAAGGACCCAGAGAGAGCGTCGCAATAGTTGAGTACAGCGAATACTCCCTATAAACGCCGTGCTGACACAGAGACCATGTGGTGGGTCTACTTAGTGGCTCTCTGGCAGTGGCGGACTCAGGGGGGGGCGCGGGGGGCGCACGCCCCCCCCTCAGAGCCTCAAAAACTATTTTTTTTTTTTTAAATCATAGATAGAAAAATTTTATAAAAGAATTTTCCAATAAGAGTTGATGGAAAAATTTTCCAATAAAATGCTTTAGGAAAATTGTCCAAGCTACACTATTGTTCAATTTATCGTTTTGTTTTTATCAGATGGATAAATGTCCTATATTTTTTTTGGAAAAGGTATTTTTATTTGTTATTTTCTGTTTTCTGATATGTGCAGGGTTGTCCAATTTGGACACTTTTGATAGAAAACGTTAATTTCTGAGCGAAATACAAAAAAATCAACCCCCACTCTGAGGCTCAAACTTTATGATATTGTGAACCGTTTTGTGATAATTGTGACTAGGGAATCCAGTGACTTTCTCAGTTTTTTTTCTATTTATTCCCGAATTCGAGATATTAACCAGAGTCCGATTGTTTTGATGGGACACTGGACACCCTATCTATATATTAATTACCGATTGAATAGCTCTGCTTTTGCTGCTTTCAATATTTCAATGATATAAAGTTTGATAGGTTTATTTTTTTTGTTAGAGTTTTCCCGAGGGGTTAATCACTCCCCGAAATCCTTCCGAAATCGACGAAATCACTCCGAAATCTCTCAGAAATCATACCCAAAAATCCCTCACAACTGGCCCAAAATTCGTTTTCGGCCGTTTTTCAGTTTATACTATATACACTTTCGAATATACTTATGATATAAGTAACAGTCTGAAATCAAATTGAAATATTTGTGAAATCACCTGAGATTCTCCGAATTCATCCTTCGAAATCACCCGAAATCCTTCGAAATCAACCGAAATCCCTCAAAATCGCTCTAAATCCGAAATCTTGTTACAGTGAATAATCCCTCGAAATCTTTCCTAACTTTGGTATGCCGCCATTTCGGCAGGGTAAATAGTAGCAACTTAAAACTTCGGGGATATAATCTTAATGAAAATAGCTACCTACCAAATGACATATCACTCGAATCCTTTTTTCATTTGAAATTTTGGGGGTACCTGTTACCCCAACTTAGGGGTTGACAGGTAGGGGATGAAAATACCAATAAAATGTGTCCCCCAAAAAACAAAAATTGACGTGTCTGAGCGATTTTTAATTAAACACCTAACACCTGAGAACCTATGGGTGGGAAGTTTTTCGTGCCCCACCCTGTATAGGTTTTTTTATTAAAAATATAAGATAGATATAAAAAGTACGTCATTGAATTCTGCTTGGAAATGTTCCTCCAGAAAGTTTATACAGAAATCAATTATTTTCATAAATAAAAAAGTTAGGAAGGTTTCACCTTATCGCTCAAAATCGAGAAACACCCTCTAGCGGCAAAACGGTTGAGGGTTTCAAAGGGCGGTTTGCAGTGTTTGCACCACCATAGACAATAAAAAATAAAAAGACCTTCAAAAGTATAGCCGAAATAGGTTATACTATTACTGCGCATCCGGTTGCGCATAGCGCATTGCGGAATTTTTGGAAAGCTAGAGACTTACGAAAGATCAGTCCGATCATTCGATTCTGTTTCATCTTTCTCTGTCATACCAATTCACAAGTCAAGGACACCGTATGAGTTACAGAGCTTTCTTAGCTGTTTTGGAGAAACCTATCAAACATCCATAACTATAGAAACTGTGACCGAGAAAACAAATAAGTAACCTTAAAATAACGACATTTCCGTGTTGAAATTTGTCATTTTTAACCGATTGGGCGGTGGTCTAAGAAGACTCGAACTCACAAAATCTAAAGAACAAGAAGAAGAAATTGTTATTTTTATTAAGGCACTCGGTATCGCGTACCTATAATAATATGTACAACTAGGATAAACTGAACCAGTAAGTATACATGTTAGTTTTGTGATATACGGCATATTTTTTTACTGTTTTAGGAGACCTCAGTCAGAAGAGATAAAATGTAGATGTTAGGCCTTGGCCAGCTTAGCTTGTATGTACAAACATTAAAGCATGTAGGTATAAGGGATGTAATAACTGTGTTTGTAAACTCTTAAGGTATTTGACCTATCTAGCTATAATATATATTTTTTCTAGTACAATTTTAGTGTTTATTTTGCCTTTTTTTTCAATCTACATCAAAAAATGGCACAAAACTTTATGGAGTACCACATCATTTTTCTCATTCGGATTTGAGAAAAAAAGATGTGGAACAACATAAGTAAGTTTTTTGTGCAATCAACTCAAGTCAAATTTCAAAATTCCCGCCATTTCAGTATTTGTTCCGGCTGCCACTATTGACGCCACCGTCGCTGTGACGTCAGCGCTATACAAACTTTCATGTTATCAATCAGGTACTCTTACCTTGGTTTATTATATTTCTCTATGGTTTGCACCAATCAAGATATACAGGGTGGGGACTTTAACTGGAACTAATTTGCTAGAGCCTTCGGATAAAATATGTGGACAAAACGCAAAAACACGTCGATTAAGATTTTTTGCCTAGGATTTTTTCACATAAATTTTTTTATACAGGGTGTTCCAAGAACAGCTGTACGATTATCAACTTTATTTTTTTAAATATTAACCCCTGTATATTATGACATTTTCGGATTCTGCGGAAAATTCTAGACCTATTTTATGTACAATGTCCTATACTTATCTTCAACTGTTTCGGAAATATTGACAGTTGAAAATTGACTTTTTTGTATCTTTGACAGACTGTAAAACCTATAAACGGTTGATCTTACTGCAAAACCCATCATACATTTTTATCTTAGTTTTTCGTAAACTATCATTTGACACCCATTCTGAATTTAATCCATGATTAAAAATTCCGTCAGCCGGTCAAAATTGCAAAAAAGTCAATTTTCAACTGTGAATATTTCCGAAACAGTTGAAGATAGGTATATGACATACATAAAATATGTCTAGAATTTTTCGCAGAATCCAAAAATGTCATAACATACAGGGGCTACCATTTAAAAAAATGAAGTGGATAACCGTACAGCTGTTCTTGGAACACCCTGTATAACAAAATGTATGTGAAAAAATCTCAAGCAAAAAATCTTAATCGACGTGTGTTTGCGTTTTGTCTACATATTTTATCCGAAGGCTGTAGCGAATTAGTTCCAGTTAAAGTCCCCACCCTGTATATAAATTTCACGATTGTCATGAAATTGAAATATGTTATAATGTTATGCTTTTCACCTCCTGAACGTAAGTTCTCGTAGGCCCAAAAAGATCCTATGATTAGTTTCGGAGATACGGAGCCGGGTCAACATACAAAATTTTGACAAAAAATAAACATTTCAAAATATGTTGAATTCAGGCAATGACATATTCTAAGTTAAAAACGGGCGGCAAAATGCCAAAGTAATGTCATCTGAAGCTTTGTAAGTTGAAAACTTGTCGAAAAATGCCAAAAATATGTAATTTTTGGTTATGAATTAAATTAATGTACCAACCACGTAGTACGTACTAGCAGATTCTGGAGATTTTTCTTGCTCTACTTTTTTTATCGGTCCTGTATCTCCGAAACTAATCATATGATCTTTTTGGGCCTACGAGAACTTACGTTCAGGAGGTCGATAAGCATAACATATTTCAATTTCATGACAATCGTGAAATTTATTTTTTCTCATAAGATCTGTGCGTGGTCCTTTGAGCTTCAGCAGACTGGAGAATTCATTTTTATGTATCTGGCTCAAAAATTGACGTTTCAGATCAAGAGTGACCAAATTGGACCACCCTGTATCTACAATCTACTTTCTTTAACGTATAAGTAAAGTATAAATAAATTTTCAAAAAATCATTGTTGATAATTCTTAGCCTGCGCAGAGCGCCACTGCCCTCTGGTAAGATATTGTAGAGAAACAGCGGTGATAAAGTTTTATTTATCGTGTGTGTTTCGCTGACGCCCCTTTGACTCAGCACTGAACCCTTTATCCCCTGTCGGTCAGTCACTAAGGTAGAATCCCTATGTGACAATATACCCTCGACAAATTCCTCTGCTGTGAAACTCTTTTGCGACTCTTTTTTGTAAAAATCTCGTTACTTGAAAGTTGATACGAATTTGAATGACAAAAGATGAAGCGTTCGATATAATATCAAATTACGCGTGTACGAGACTTTTACAGAATAGAGGTCCCCTGAAGTTTCATTTCCTACGCAAACCATGTCCTTTTGTTTTGTGTCTATCTTCTCAAAGTTGAGATAAGTTAACTTCAATAGCCTGATGGACTCTATCGATTTACTTTTCAAAGCATTCACAGTTCAAAGACGACAGGCTCCAGCATTGCCATCATACCTGCTCGTTAGTTCAGGACCTATAATAAAATATGGAGAATAAGACCCCATTTGTGTTTCCATCGTGAAAGCGAACTGAGTGTCACTCAGAGGCTTTTGTTGAATCTTCTATACACTTGAAGCTTGGAAGGTTTCTTTGTTGTTCTATGATATGGTCGCGTTTTCAGATACAGGGTGAATATCGACACTAATTACTCATTTGGTAAATGACCGCCTGTGCAAATTTTAATTAAAAAATTTCCCTTCTTGGTCTAATAATGACATAAATTCCTATACGTCGTCTTTCGACTTTCAGCTTCCTGTCGCAAAAAAATCGACTTCTCATTTCATTTGTTGTACAGGGTGTCGAAATTTGGATGGTTTTAATAGGAAACATCAATTTCTGAGCAAGATACAAAAAAATGAACCCCCC